AGATAGGCTTGATTCGGGACGACCATGGGTCTGATCAATTGCAGGAAATGGTATGTGTCTCGGATGTAACTAGGGTGTTTTATAGATAGGGGGCCTAGGTGGTGTTCCACGTACTGGGAGATGTTATAGGATGTACTGTTGCAATCTGAGACGATGGGTCGACCGGAGGGAACCTCATAGGGAACAGTCCAGGTGGAAGGATCCTTGTGGATTTGGGAAGAAGGTCAAATAAACGGGTGCTTGGGTTGTCGGGGCCGAATAGGTAGTCTTTTTGTTTTGAGGAGATGAATTTGTTGGTGTAAAGGGAGGTGATGATGGGCCGAAGTAGTTGCAGTGTCTGTAGTTGTATGGATGTTGGTATAAGTTTTAATGTGTCTCGTTTGTAATGTGGCCCTTATCGGGCCGGTTTGATGATGATGTTGGTGTTGTTTGCGAGTTGTGTAAGGGCCCTGCGCTCGGCCCCTGTCAGATTGTCTGAGACGTCTGGTGGGGGCCGATGTGTGCCCAGGGCCTGTAGGTCTGTGTGTATGAGTGTCTGTGTGCTGGTGTGTAGTTATGAGGTAAGGGGTTCCCAGTTGGAGGGATGCATAAAGAGTCTGGGTTGGATGGGTGAGTTGGGGTCAAAGTAATTGATTAGTTTGATACGTCTGTGGTACTGGTGTAGGTCCCTATGAAGTTCCTCCCAGTCGAATGCGGAGGGACGTGGGACGAATGTGAGGCCCCTCTGCAGTAACTGTTGTTGGGCTGCAGAGGGGTGAACAGTTTGGACAAGTTAAGAAGGGTTGATGATGAGTTCCACCCCAGGTCCGGGTGTGGTGGGTGTTGTGTGAGTGGGTTTGTGGTGTGTCCCGGGTTGGTTTCGGGAGTAATCAGAAATTCAGTTGTAGTTGTTGTACCCAGCTGTGAAAAATGAGTGCGGCTGATTCCGGGGACCAGTGTATGATATCTTGTCTGGTGGGGAAGATGTCGTCTGGAATGCCTGCAAGGTGTTTGGCGTCGGTGAAGGGGTGTTATTAATGATGTCCAGGTTGTACTGATGTGTGAGGGGTAAGGAGGATGAGTAATGGATGTGTGGGGACCTAAATCTGTTTACACAGTCACGTGTGGGGACTCGCCTCCCATCATTAATTAATTTTACGGTGAAGACTTGGTTAGGGTTAGGGTAAGGGTTAGAGTTAGGGTAAGGGTAAGGGTTAGGCATGTGTTGGTTATGCTTAAGGTTAGGATAAGTCTCCAGGAAATGCATGTAAGTCAATGTAATGTCCCCTGAAGTGATGTATACATGGTGTGTGTGTGTGTGCGTGCGTGCGTGCGTGCGTGCGTGTGTGTGTGTGTGTGTGTTCACCTGAGACTGGAGGAGTTGCAGGGTGGTGTGTTTGGGTTTTGCCGGAGCTGGCGCAGCCGCTCTCTCATGCTGATCGTCAGCTCTGCAGCCAGTCGCCACACAAAGATACAGCTGGGAGATAAAAGCATTCACGCATTAAAAATGCAACATTTCATTTCAGCTCCACTGTTGAGGGAACTGTGTGCAAAGACGTTTCTCCGCTCATTACCTCTGAGGCAGAAGAGGATATCAATTTGGTTTTCCACAGTAGTTTTATTCTAGTGCCCAATCCATATTTGGAAGTCTCATTGTTATATGAGCTCTGAGTTCAAATATAGAATGAATGTGTGTTATCATTAAAACTCAAACTGAATGATAGTAGTTTAAAAGCTTAATTTCTAAAGAGTATGTATTACTTTCATTAGAATGTATCCCTGTGTCTTTTCCCCCCGTTCCTATCACTGTTGTCCCTGTTAAGTCACTAATGTTTATATTTGTACACAAGTATAAAAGGATTGTTTCTCACCTGTCGCCTGACACAGAAATCAAATGCCTGCAATCGTTGGTAAACTTCAGCCCGGTGACAATCTCTGCAAAACACAACGATATGTCGGAGGGAGTTATATTGTGTTTCCTGGCAGGTGTAGGTGATAAACACCCTGCTGCTATAAGAGTGTGATTCACTCGCAACTCATGTTGACAACATTAAATATGTGTGTGTGGGGCACAGGTGTGTGTTTTATTACCAGAGTGTCCATCCATCGTGGCCACACACTCCCCGCTGTCGAAGTCAAAGATGCTGATGTTTTTATCGGAGCTGCTGGTGGCCACGTATTGACCAGACGGATCGAACTGGACCTGCCCGGAAACAGGACAAAAAGGGTCAATATGCTGTGTATATATATATATGGGAAGGGTAAGACACATAGACTGTATATATGGTAAGACATTAGGAGTGTTGAGTAGCACGTTACCCTGAGCACACTGCCGTCCTCGCTCAGGGAGCCCTTGTAGAGTTTCTCCTGCTTGCCGTTGCTGATGTTGAAAATCCTGCAGACAGGAGGAAAATAAATAAATCCTCTTTAATCGTCTCACGCGTACATCTTACACCACGCGCACTGAAATTAAGACTATTTATTTAACCCATTCTAGTGTTGGGGGCAGTTGTTATACAGCACCCAGTGAGCAGTTTTGCTCAATAGCACCTTGCCCAGGAGTCAAACTAGCACATCTAAAGTACCAGTCCACTCTCCATACTTGGTCTATTCTAAGGATTGAACCAGCGACCCTCCGGTTCCAAATCAATCCCTACAGAGTCGCTACTGCCACACAAAATGACTCTGAATTTAACCAATCCTAGTAAATTTGCAATTATTCTGTATATCTGTAAATTATATACTATCATATGCATTTACAGTATATTATGAGCTTATATTCCTGCTACTGCAGTATTTTTGACCTTAGAACATTTTGATTATCCAGAATGTTGTATTTTGTAACATCCCCACGCTTGACGCCCTCAAGTCCCGTCTGTTTGCCAAGGCCTTCGGCCCCTAATTTATTTGTTGTTTTGTCTGTCTGACTGTTTGTCTGACTGCCTTTTGTTTTTGTTTGTTTGTTTTTACTCCTGTTTTTCTTTGTAAAGCGACCTTGGGTCCCATGAAAGGCGCTATATAAATCTAAGCTATTATTATTATTATTTTTATTATTGTTTATTTCTTTATACTATTTTTCTCATTCATTTTATTTATAAAATCTTTTCCACTTTTAAGTATTTTTATTTTTATGTTGAGCACACTGGTCCTGTAAAAAGATTATTTCCCAATTTGGGATTTATAAAGTATATGTATCTATCATCTATCTATCTATCTATCTATTTATTAGGCTCAGTGGGCAGCTATTGTTCACAACGCTGGGGAGTCAGAGTGGAGTGCTTTGCTCAAGGACACCAAGGCAGAAGTTTGTCACTTGTAAACTTGTACCAGTGACCCTCTGGTTCCCCAGCCTACGGACTGAGCTGCTGCCCTTGTTTCCTTATTGCTAACCTCATGGAAATTCGAGAAAAACACACCCCCAGCCTCTCACCTGATGGATCGGTCCTGGCAGCCGACAGCAGCGTGGCAGGTGGGGTCCACCCCCATGTCGTACAGAGTGGTCTTCATCACCATGTGGTGAGAACGCCTGAACTCTGTTCCTCTGTCCGTCTGGGAAACAAATAGAAACTGTGAGGTTTGTTCTGAAGAGGATAGCTACTGTTGTTTTAGCATAAGGGGACATTTAATACATAATACAGCAGAAGACTTCATATTCAAATTGGCATACAGTTAGTAGTATACAGCGTGTCATTCTGTTTAAGGAGGGTAGCTAAATGAATAACACTGAAAATACAGTGGGAATTTGACCTACGCCTATAGATATCTCAAATTTGCACAGATCAGTTTAAATGATCAATATATACATAATAATGGCACAATGTGAGTTATTCAAAATGACGATTTAGTTGAACTAATGATTTAGTTGACATCACTTTTACCTAGAGCTGATACCTTCAAAACCAAAATGAAGATATAAACAGTGAGTAAAGAAAAACGTTCCCAATCATCCCAAGAAATACTACGGTACCGTAATTACATGCAATCAATATTTGGTTGATTGAGTTCTACAATTGTGTTCTAACCCACAGGAGCAAACACCAAAACAATTTTTAAAACTGTTTAATCCCTACTTTCTTTAGCAAACTTCTTTAACATTAAAGATCATGTACCTTTCTATAGTCATGCAGACGAAAATAATAATCATGAATGGAGGTATTTTTACTGAAATAGCCCATCCCTTATGAGCTCATAGACAGGACATTAAAAGGTGAAGCTCATCTTCATTTCACCTAGCTCAAACAACAACAAAGACTTCTTCAAAAATGCATCTTATTTCACATAACAAGGCAGTATATACACATAGTTGATGTGTGTGGAATGGATGAAAGGCAGAACATTAAGTATTTGCGTTGGTTGAAGTTTAGCAGAACATGTACTTTTTGAATGAAGGCCATAGAAAATCAGTCTTTGAAAACAGTGAGCACAATAACAGGCAGCTTCAAAAGATGATCGTTACGTTCTGCTGAGCTCGGGCCTGTCACAACACGCTCCTGAAAGAACACTCTGTAAATGTCAGGATGCTGAGGAGAGGTTTCACTGGAGACCAACAAGCCATGGGTTTTCTTGCTCTACAAAACCTAATGAGTCACTGCAGAGGCCTGAATCACAGAATGATGTCGGAAAAATGGTCACAGTGACCCAGAATCAAGAGTAGAGGAAAGGATGCAGCAGGATGTCATTTTTAGCATTTAGTTATACAACCTGAACACCCATATACTCCTTTTCTAGTATATGCTGTAGAGTTGTATTCACAAACAGAGGCTAAATGTATTGTGTTGCTGTTGTGCAGCAATTCATAGTTTGGGGGGAAAAAATACATTCATAAATAATTGTAGTCAAAAATCAATGAAGCAGCAAGCAATGCTGAACCAAGATCAGAGCTGTGTCTTTAATGGCTGGATATAATTAGGAGAATTTAAGGAAATTCATTTTTGCTGAAGCGTCCTCTGTATTGCAAAAATAAGCAGTAAGTCGAGGAAAAAAACGTGTTTTAAGTGATGTTAAAATAGCTGCAGCATAAGCTAGCATCAATCTGTATTCCTTTAGTAAAATGTTCTGATTTCATGTGATTATGACAAAAACAATTACAAAAACAATGTCATATTAAAAGAAAAAGTTCGGAGGAAGTTATATTTTGTTGTCTGAGTATCGATTTATATTATCAAATATATGGAAGACTTGACATTTGGTTGAATATTAAATAAATAATCATGTTTTTCTCATCATGTGATACACTAACTCATAGTTTAGCTGGTGTATTGACATACTGTATGAGTGTTTATTGGCTATTGTACATCAGAATCCACCTGAGGAAAGACACGTTTAACCGTTGGTTAGCATCTTGCTGAAAAGCGTTATACCTGATGTGCAGTGCGGAAATAGATGCTCTTGTCGGCCCCACAGCTGATCATCTTCACCTTATTCTCATCGGCTGAAGAACAAAGACACAACATATCAAGTTATTAACGCCCATAATACAACAAGTGTACCAGTTCATATCCAGTTAGTCATTTTCTTCAATCTCGAGATAAAGAAAATCTTGACAATCATAGACTTAGTCAATCTAAATTCAAAAACCAGGTTGCTAGAAGGCAAATTGAGAGAACATTTAAACAAAGCGCAGAACTTAAAGAGCTCTCTGCTTACAACAAACAAAGCTCCACTTAGCAAATGCATAGCTGTAATCTATTATCTAAACAAGCAGAGCGGCAAGTGAAATAAAAGCGTGGGACTGAAAGGAGATGAGAGCGAGGATTAGGCAAAGATTAGCTGTCAGATGTTGACAGACTCGAGTGGCTCACCAGCGAAGCGGACTGCTGTTATGGATGAAGAGTGCTCGTCGAGAGTCTGCAGAAGACTGTAGTCGTCCTCCGCATTCAAGACGTGGATCAGACGGTCCCTGCTAGAGGAGGCCAGCAGCTTCAGGCCTGACAGTGATAAGGCAAAGAAATCACATAATCGTACACACAGCCAACACACAAAGATCTTTCAAGAGTGTTGTGACTATGATCGTCAAGAAAAACCCACACTGACCTGTTTCTGGTTTGCTGTATTCCAGGCAGAGGATCTCAGCATCATGGGCCTCTACTTTCAGGATCTCCTCCATGCTGCTGAGGTCATGAACCCTGGAGAGTATTAGATTACATTAGATATATCTGATTCATCCTAAATTGGGAAATTGTTTTTTTTACAGAAGTCTATAACAACATTTTGTCAGTGTGGATAACTACCGGCAATTTATTTTATATATTGTTTTATTTTTTGTATCCTGTGTTTAATTTTCCCTGTTATACTCTTTTTTAACAATATATTATAGGTCTCAGATATGTACAAAACATGTTTCTGAAGGGTTTAGCACAAAACAACAAAACATTGTGACAAAGTGGCCAAAATCTGATCGGCTCATTTTCAGACAGGTTTTTATATTAATTCATCAGGACAAAAAGAGAGATAATCTTTTTTCCTGAAATATTTAGAAAAAATAAGACAAGAAAAAATATAAATACTGAATACATTCTAGTGTGAAAAGTGGTTGGAGTTAAGTACAAATGAAATCCAATGGAGTAGACTGTGACAACACTGTGTAGTAATTGTAGAGGGTTATATAAAAAGGGGGAAAAGAATGGAATCTGGTTCAAGAAAATAATAAAATATGAAGCTGGGAGTTTTCTGCTAGTCAGAGTTATTGCTGTTGGCAGCAGTAGGTGGAGAGGGTATTTAAATGCATGTTTTTTTAAGATGGAGGTCACCTCAGCCATACATCAGTCTCAGTTTAATCCTCCCTGTCCTACCTCAGCACCCCGCTGCGATCTCCAGATGCCAGATGTTTTCCGTCTGGACTCACACAGATGGTCCTGATGCCCGTCCTGCTTTCTGCTGTCTGTCCGTCTCCGGGTCTGTCTGCGTTCATGTTGGTCAAACACTCCGGATCCAGCAAGGTACTGGTGTTTCCGTCTATGTAGATTATATTCAGGAGATCCTACAAGGCGATGGTGGAAAGAGAAATAACGCGTCAAAGGGAGAATGTGTGCTTCTGAAATAATCACCGGTTTTTATTTTGTAGGAGATGAAGAAATACAGATATTTACGCCAAACTCACTTTGCTGAGGATATTCTGAGAGTGATCACGAGCGTGTGTCCAGTCTGACGGGCGCCACAGTCTGATGGTGTTATCAGCTGAGCAACTAAGGAATACACCTGATGACAAACCAGCAGCAAATTCACCACGAACATCTGGGAACATCTGGGGAAGGAGGAGAGAGAAGGGTTTTAATTAGGTGGGACTGCAGGGAATATTAATTATGCAGAAATTCAATGCAGAGCCATAGATTTACATTCATTATGGAGCGTGTTATGATAAGCTGTGGGACTTTAATCCAATGGTAGTTGTTGGTTGTGAAAATGTTTTGAATTAATAAGGCTAGTTTAGACAGTATTTTTATCCACAATAAAGAGCTGACTATATTCAACCACGGACAAAACTCGGTTTTGTAAAATGACCAATAAAATGTTTTTGTAATGTACAAGATATAGTGACGTGTTGATATGTTACAAGAAAAATTGATTGTAATAACTCAATCATTTACTGTGGCAAGGGAAAATATGTCATGATAATCATAACATATATATTGCGATGAGGTAAAAATGATTTTTGTGAAAATAATAACAGTTTCTCATAACAAGAAATAAATGCATTATGGATTGCCTTTTAGTGGCTATCATCAGCAAGTACAAACATTTCCAACATTGGTAAGAGAATAATATTAGTATATAGCCTATTAATTTAATTAGCAATTGAGAAATATAAAAATAAGATCCAATTGTGTGTCCTAAATTAGATATTTGGACTTTAGTGACTAAATAAGTGCCCAAAAGAGGCAAAGTGTTGGCGCTATGTGGCATTTAATCCCCCAAGGTTCCCCTATCAGCAGCCCAGTCAATACAACGTTTAACCCATTGTGTAATTATTAACTACACACGGAATCAGGCACTGGTTTGAAACACACTACACGTGTCGCCGTGGTGAAAGAGGTGTTTATTGTTCACTTGTTTACTTCCAGGTCCCCGACACAGGCAGCATGGTAGAGGGCGGAGTGCACCTTCTCCACCCTGCTGATGTCCGTCACATCCCACACATACACACTGTGGTCGCTGTACACACAGCTGAGCCACTGGCTGACGGGGTCAAAGGTCACAGCAATGGTGTCTGGGTAACGGGCGTCCGTCATGGTAGGAAACAGGTTGCTGATGGGAAAGTGATTGTTATAGATTAGTTTTGTCATGGGAGGGTTATTTTCTAAACAACGATACAATACCCTGAGAAATGTTTATAATATACCATTTTCGATGCTACAAGGGAGTTTCTCTTCAATATTGAGTGCATAAAATGTAATTATTTTATTATATTACAAAGATATAAGATGATACTGGCTACTCTAGGATAGTCATTTTCACAATATTTAATTTTTGTGGAAATGCTTGAAAAACTGTTTTGTGTATAAAAAGAAAAAGAGGTAAGAAATTAGACAAATGTAACCCCACTTTTCTTTTAAACCCATCATAACTCTGTCAGGGTTTGTAAAATATCTGGTACAGTTAAATAACTAAAAGTGAGCTATTTCAAGTCAAAACCCACTATTGATTTTGGCTCTAGCTGGAAACATTTAGGTGTTTTTTAAGCTGTGAAACTGAGTCACTTGAGACAGGAGGTGCTATAAATTCAGAGCGTTTGTTCCTGCAGTGGATCCCTGCCAACAAAAGGCTGTGTTTCCTCCTGATCTCTTCCTCACCTGGCCTCCCTGAGGGCTGAGGCGTCAGAGCCGAGGTGGTGCGGCCGCGGCAGCGTGCAGATGAAGCAGAGGTCGACGGGGCTGAAGGCTCGCACCGTTCCATCAGAGCAGCCACAGAAGACCAGATCCTCAGAGAGAGACAGGGACTGAGCCACGCCCGTCTGGAAGGAAGGACACGAGACAACAGGCGTCAGCATTTCATAGTTATAGAAGACCCTACTGTAGCAGGGAAATCTGTCCGTGTAAAATGTACAGTATTGTTGCCTCCTTTTCCATGTTTCCTCAAATTGATTTTCCTGAAGCCTCATGGAAAAAGTGATTCTTTCCATAAAAAATATCAGACCAGTTGTCAAGCGATGGGATGTCCGGTTTGAGCCATTTTCTGTGCAGCTCCTGTGCTCCGGTACACGACCAGAATTGTTTTTATCTGATATTTTTCTTAAAACGGAAAGCAACCCGTGTGTATTATTTTGGTTTTCTTCTCAGTTTCTGTTTTCTTTCTATTTTATATTATGATTATGGTTATTATTATTTGTTTCACTTATTGTTTGTTTCAAATCACAATCAAGTTTATTGCCAGGTACATTTACACAAACATGGAATTTGCTTTAGTGTCTTGAGAAACTATTTAGTATTAACAAAGAATAAAGACAAGTACTTACACCAAATTTAAATATACAAAGAACCTTAAAAGCCAAAGAACTAAAACACTTAGGACAATTTATATATGAAAATATATGGCAAACTACAGTTTATTATAGTTTAAAGTGGAGGGCTGTGCAGACGTGTGCAAAGACTTGCAAAATATATTCAGAGAGCTGAGCATGGACGAGGCTCAAAAATGATCAAACTGTATTATCAATACTTGACTGTGACTATATAAAGAAATACAAAAATAATTTTAAAATAATTCTGTCCATGGATAATAAGAAGAAAGGCATAATTGAAAAATCCCCTATGGGAAAATCAGTTGACTCGGTTGCTGATAAATTCAAATAGGCACATGCACAAAAAGAAGCCCTGGAGAGATTAGGCCCAAAATACACATGAAAGGAGAGGAGTCAGAGTGAAGGAGCTGCCTTGTTTGGCGCCACATTTCCAGATACCAGTCAACACAATCTTTTTTTTTTTGGTCCGTGCGGGGACATTAACCGGTGACCATCTGGTTTCCAAGCCAAGCCTCTACAGACTGAAACACTGCTTGCTCCAATATAAAAAGGGGACCTCTTTTAAAATCCCAAGTATCAAGAGAAATCAAGTGCAGTTTCATGATTAAGTGTAGAGGAGAGCCCCAGCCCTGCGTGTCAGTAATGATAAAGGTTACAGAAGGTTGCAGAGGGACATCAATGCGTCCTTATTGGAACGCTTCCAAACACCTTCTGTACTCGGTCCCTGCTGCTAATCCCTCGCTGATCCTCTGACAGTAAGCAGGCGCAGGACTCACACACTTTCATCTTCTTTATTAAACACCACAGCTGGACACCGAGCACGATAGGTTGTACAGCACGCAGTAATGGATGCATAAATATACTGGAGCATTAACTTCCCATTAATATCCCGGACACCTACTGAAGCAATAAAGAACTAAATGCATGTTCATGGAAAAGCATTAGCATAGCCTTTGCGGCCTTTCAAAGTAAGAAATAAATGTCGTAATGCCACATAGGTTTTTAACCACGCTTATTAATGTGAATTTTTAAAGATACATTTCACAGCAAAAGGTTGCTCTAAAGGTAGAAAATGGAGTTTGACTCAAAGTATTATTAAAGAAACGCGAATGTATCTACATGATAGGCATAACATGTATTAGAAAAATATTAGAAAGATGCTTTTTTTTTGTCAAAGCCGATGTGAAGGTTAATAAATTCTGTGATCAAATGTAAAATGTGTTATATTGGGCGATATATGAAGAATTAACTGTAACTTGAATATCATTCTGTCACATCTGTGCCTTAAATATAACAGTACAGCCAGGAGATTGTTAGCTTAGCTTAGCACAAAAACTAGAAACAGGGGTAACAGCTAGCTTTGCTCTGATATTAAGTTTTTGAAAGTATTTATAATACATTTTTATATATAAAGTGAGCTTTAAAGTTGCTGGTTGACAGACTTTTTTTTATTAAGGCAGAGGAATACTTCTGAGATATCACCTTTTTGGTAAATACAGGGCAGTGCATATCAGCACCTACATATTAAACCAACCAACCAATATCCCCCGCATCACTCCCACCTCTGGGTAAATATCATAAATACAAGTAGTGGTGACTAGAGCCCAACATTGTCACTGTTGGATTCTTCCTGTAACTGTCACTCACCCGCAGGTCCACCCACTTGTCCAGCGTCCTCTTGCTGTTAAACTCGCACAGCACGCCGGAGGAGGTGATGCAGAAGGTGGAGTCGGATGCAGAGCCCCGCCCACAGGCCACATCACAGAAGAAGTTGTTCCTCAGATCCCCCAGCAGCCCCGAGCGGCCCAGCAGAGGGACAGGGGCGCTGGCCTGAACACCACAGAGGGGTGAGGGTCAGGGGATGAGGGTTTAAGCAGAATACTGGCAACATTTACACTCATCACAAAGTTACTTCTTTGTTTGTTGACATTACATCAGCATCCAGTCATTAGGAAATGTGTCTAGTAAGATTTTTTCATTTTAAAAATAAAATTGCTTGGTGTTGAAACTAACAAAGGAATGCCAAAAGAGATGACAAAGAATTTCACAGGTGTTACCAAATGTTTTCCCATTTCTTTATCTGAGTGTTTCCATGTGTGATTATGCAATAAGCTGCAGTAAAGCTGTGAACACCACTTTGTAAAGGTTAATGATGTGAAGACACAATGCTTTAGAACAATGAGATATCAATAAAAAAGGAACTGGGACAAAACCAAACTCCCACTCAACTTTGATTTGAGCTTGGGCCGTTGTCAAAGCAATGAGTGTTAGTCATACGGTATAACAACTTACTACAAACCTCTTTAAAAAAAAAGTCACCAACATGATACATTACCTTATTGGCCTTGCAGTGGTCCAGATACCAGAACTTGACATGTCTGTTCCCCACAGTTACAAAGTAGGAGCTGTCCTCAGAGAAAGACACACCCGTCACCTGACTGGACACCTTGTTGGCCGCCACAACTACATCTTTCTGCAAGACAATAATACAACAAAACATGTTCAAAACAGAGCATTCATTATATGGAAAATCATTTTTTTTAAATCATATAAAAACAACAAAGGCAATATGTAAACACACTGGCATTCAAAGGGTTTAAAGTGTGAAAATGAATGAATAGTTGGTAGTCATGATCAGGACTGATATATAAGAAAATGTGGCATAAGGGTTAAATACTTTTTGATTTTATACAAAACACACTTCCAGTCTTTATGCTGAGCTTACTGATAATACATATGCATAATTTCCCAAATATTCAAAATACTCCAAAATCATAACTAGGAGTGTGTAGGTAAAACCCAACTACTTTGTAGCTTGCACCAATATGACAGATGTACCTTCCATGCCCAGACGTTGACCATCATGTCATGCTGGTTTCCCACACTGACAATATATTTGCTGTTGGGGGAGAAAGCCACACAGGAGACGCCATATTGGTGCCTCTGGAGCTCCGACACCTGTCTCTGTTCTGCCACATCCCAAAGTCTCACCGCTGGAAGGTGACCGCTCTGGGGAAAATAACAGAGGGATATAGAGGAAATAGGTCAACACTATGTTTTATTTGTTGTCCCCAGTCTTTAAATCCACTGGAACAACATAGAGCAGTCACCTGTCAGTTAAGAGAGATTATCCACTCTGTCGCTGACCTCTGCTCACCGTATACAGTTACTTGTCCCTGGGCCTGATCCTTTCTATTTTCTCTCAAGGGTTTAAAGGTTAGCAGTCTATTTGTGTGGCCTCTCGCTTTGATATAATTACCTTTCAAAAAGTTAACAGTTGAGAGGAAATGCAACCTGAAGGACACTGAAATGAATGACATTCATCTAAAGTCTGAGCTGCATACTGAAGAGACAGAAATAAAAAGACGTATGAAAAAAACATATGCACGTCTGCCGCCTGCCTGTCCTTGATGTAAATGAGCTCCTGTGTGGTGAATGAATGAGGGACGTTTCTTATCTGATCAATCACTCAGGAGCATCTTCTCCTTTTTCAAGGAAATTCTCTCAGAGCTGTGATGCTCTCAGTTGGTTGCAGAATATTATATAAACATTTTGCCTGAAAGATTAAACGCAGTTTTATAAAAAAAACCTGTTCTGTAATCACTTTCGAGTATATATAGTGTAAAAAAAAAAGTGTTTTAACATCAGCAGAAAAGCGGCCTATCCTTGTTGCATTTGGTCTGTTGGACTTTGGTCTCTGCAGTCATGGCAACTACTGCACGCTCCTCCACTTACATGCAGAAGTCTTTAATCGGCTTTGATTGGCTATGGCGGATTAAGATAGTGTGTTGTGTTGAGGCACAAACTGTTACTACAACATACATGCAATTTATTTACAGACAAATGACAGTGATACATGAAGGGAACTCACTCTTAAGCACTCCCCCAATAAGACATGCATGATCACCATTCATAAATGACTGTAGGCCTACATCCTGCTGGGATGTTCTCAACTATTTATGCTATGGGAAACTGAAGCCTCCAAGATGTGGAAATTCTGGAAAAGCACATTAATGCAAGGCCAGATTGACAGTAAAAAATACTAACCTCTCCAGTGACCAAGTGCTTGCCATCGGGGGAGAAAGAAAGAGCTGTAATGGTCTTCCTGTGAGACAAAGACAGAAAAACAGCTCAGTGGGATTTTTAAGTAAATATTCTTTCTACCCAAATACACCACCGTCCATACCACCAAGCAGAAAGAAGAGGGTATCTACACTTGTGCTTGTTGCTGGATGTAGTTGATAGATAAAAAATAGTCCCAACATGAACCTGCTAGGCAGATTGTATTTGGGTTCAACTCACCGTGACGTGTTGATAATGTGGTGCTGTCTGTTCTTTTTGGCGTTGAGCAGAACTACCACACACCTACAGAAGGAAAAAATACAATCATAATTCACAATATGAGGTATGTTAACTTTTAACCAATAATGCATTTGTCTTGGAACTGATGTTTGGTATATATTCCTTGCACGGAAGGAACGGTTTAATTTCCGGTGCCAACCTTAAAGTGACATTGAAGATATTTAGTGAAAGTTCAATGGAAAATAAATATTTTCAGCTCAGGAATAATTTAATTATCTTTTCACAGTGCATAGCCTACTTGTCGCAGTTTTTAACATACAGAGGCTTACTGATAATACACCATGAAATAATAAACATTTGAACTCTGATGTAACACAGTCTAAATAGTATTAATCTACAGAAGTAAACCAAAGTGTACTAATCTCGGTCGATCCGTAATTAAACCTTATTCTGTGAACTATTTAAGAAAACAACAAGAAACACAATAATCCTGTACTTTTTCATAAATCTACTATTTTGTGGGTCATACAAGGTAGAATGCATGAAGAATTTCTGAACTGTAAAACAGATTGATATGAGTTACTGAGCTAGTTTAAAATATGCTGAAAGGTGTTCGACCACACTTCATGTATTTAGGTGAATATTTTTTCACATTTCAAAGAAATACACTTCTAAGTCTTTCTTGCAAACAGTTAACACAACGTGGGATGGGAAGATTGACATACACCACCCTAATGTCAGTTCTAATATGAAGCCGGTTAGCTTAGTTAGGTTTGCTTAGTTAGGTTAGCTTAGTTAGGTTAGCTTACGTATGTATTGGTAACACAATTCTCGTAACACCAATGTTACACAAATTCGAAGAGATATACCATGTTAATTTTAACTTGAACTTTTTTAAGTTGTTGGTAGAAAAGGTTTTTTTACTTTTCAACAAAGACAGAATGGCTTATATCCTTGTAAACCTAGCTAAGCTAATCGGCTCCTGGTGCTAGCTTCCACTTTATCATGAGGTAAGACTACTGTATCTTCTAATTAAGTTATTAATAATGAAATCATGAAAATATATAACTCCTTTGAGGGGAGTAAATAAACAATGGTACTAAACGTAACATAAACCCACTTTTGTACATTTGTGTAATGTGTTTGCATTGATTTTCTGAAAGCTTTAAATCAAAAGGTCCTGTCTTGATTGATTCAAGTGTTTTGTTCCTGTTTCTAGAGTGTGATTCATCCACTCTTTAACATTTTTCCATGTTCAGATGTTAATATAATGTTTCCTGGTAAGATAACTCCCTCTTCACAACCTCTTCCAAAAGCACCTGTTTGAAGCTGTCAGTTCTAAAATACCATAACAGGTAACTGCATTACTTGTGCAGATTTGAAGTGAAGCGGCATGAACATTGCCAGACTCTCAAATTTGGGAAGTAGGCTATAAAGCTCGCTAAAGAAAGAAACATAATCACAAACATACACTCTTGGCCACAACAATAGTGTGCACAGCAGCCATTGACTTTCTTAGTATTAATACAGCTTTGTCAGAATATTTGAGAACAACAAAAGAGGCTCAGTGCACTGTTTCTATTACAGCCTAGCATGCCCTAATGTGCTTGTTAATTAACAGTCTGCTTTCAGGCCTAAAGCATTGCCACTGTTTAGTTATATCAACATGCAACCTGCATCTCACAATTATTTTTATTTTGCATTGAAAGTTAACACAGCCAGTGTCACAGTTTGCCCAAATTAATAATACTACACAACACTCTTCACATCAGTGAGAAAATCAAAGGAAGCCTCCCCGAGGATAGGATAAAGAAGCTTTGGAGTTCCTCTGATCAGATACTCCACAGAGCTCTCCTCTTCAGTTCCTCTGAGATAACACATAGACAGAGGGATTTGCACACTAAATGTCTGTGTTAGGTAGATATGATAAGGAAGCTTGGAGTGCTGCTAGGTCAAAGGTCAGATATCTGGAAAAGGATGCAGAAATGGTCTCTCTTCTTACCCTGCAGGATAGGCAACCAGACCAGATCGGGGGTCACAGGCCAGACCGCTGTTTCCTGATGCTGTGATTCCTAACACCTTCTCTAAGGTCACCTGTAGAGACACACAGCGGGAGGATTCAATCACAGGGAGAATTGAAAGTAGAGTTGACAGTGGGATAAATACTGAACTCAAAGCAGCAGTGATTGAACTAAGCACCTTTGTCAATAATTCAAAGAGAGAAATAGATTGGTTTGAATGCAACATGGGAGGTCGATGTCTGACTAATGTCCACTCTGTCCGTCCGTCTGTCCGTCCGTCTGTCCGTCTGTCTGTCTGTCCGTCTGTCTGTCTGTCCGTCTGTCCGTCCGTCTGTCTGTCTGTCTGTCTGTCTGTCTGTCTGTCCGTCTGGGTAATTATAAAGCAGCCCTAAGTGTCATTGATTACTTTGGAGTAAGATGAAGGTACCTGAATCTACAGTACACTAAATATTAAGAGTGAATAATAAAAATCATGATCAGGCAATCGCAGGCTTGCTATCCTAAACTACTGTGAGCTTAAGGTTTCTATTTATTCTTGTTAATAAAAGTTATATATTTTTCTGAGTGTCACTGTCTAATCAGGCCCCTTTTATTTAGGTTAAAACTAATGGTATATACTCCTTAGGTATGTGTATAGTTAGATGTTCTATCTAGAAGTAATACAACTAAAACAAGAGACTTTGGTGCAAATTGGTAACCTAAACGATGTTATCATTGCCTAAACGATTTTATCATTATGGATTATTATCAAGTTGTAACATTTTAATTTTTGCCCACCACCAAAATGGCCAGTGAATTTCACAATTTTACAAAAATAAATTAGCCACTCAATAGATAACTATTGTTTTTTTAATAGTGAGTCAGGCAAATCGACCAGCCAAGTATATTTTACCAGTATTTGGCTTGTAAAATGTGCTAATATTTTACCCTAATAATAACTTATCTATGAAGCATTAGTCAACAATGTGTTATTATTAATAGAACAATTATTTACAAATATAACCCCTTTCTAAATGATGCCCAAATACCCTGTTCTCTATAGTTGCAGTTTCAAGTGCCATAAATGTTGCTCAGGTAGCATTTTACCTATCAATAATTACTGCAAGATATAACATTGATTTGTACTACACTGCAAATAGAAGGCTATCATAGAGTATTACTAATTGCTGCTTTTGCTCAGAAACTTTTAAAAAGTAGGTTCTGAGAATGAATAATTACCTTGCTGGTGAGACTTTCTTTCCTGTTCTTCTTGTGCCTGATTGATGGAGAACGCAGCAAATTCCTGATGCGACTTTTAAACGTAAACCCATCGCCTGGCATTTTGTGGCACTTCTGACAACTCTGACAACAATCCACTGGACAAGTGAATGCAGCAGGGCTGGAGAAGGGAAGGAAAAGCCTGTCAAAACCTCCCACCAACAAGCCTCCCACCAGGCAAACTTTATGTTCACAGAGTCGGACAGTGTTCCTGCTTCCGGGACTTGAACACGATAATCTCTTGAGTGGGTTTACTGGTCTCTGCTGTCTTCTGCAGCTTGTCGCTTCACATCAACAGCTTCTCATCTCCCAACACTTCTGGACTAATGTTGCCTCAACGCAACGGTTTGCACTGACAAGGGGAGGTGGAACAATCCGTTGCTCAGCTGTTTGCATCCATTGCATCACTGGATTAATCTCAGTCTCATGATTACATCAATGATGGCTTTTGTTGCTGTTGTAATTGATTTAATAGGATTACAGAGAGGCCACCGGCAGATTTAAGCCGCATGGCGAATGTTTCTTGAGTAGCTCAGTTTGTATGCTGATTGGACGATAAAACATACCCTTTTATGCATAATGGGCAATCTGTTGTTTAATATGCAAATGTATCTACGTTAAAGTAATCTTAACTTTTCTTCACAGTGATATTCAAAACGTAGCGCTAGGCTAGTTATTAATTGAGTTATTTAATAAGATGTAAAGGCTCAAAGCATGTTGCTGCTAATTATGTTAACCTGAAATGTTTTATCTAAAACAATACAAGTCATACTTTCTCGCGCTGTCCTAATTTTAAAACGTTATCAAAATTCTGTGTGCTATTCCGGGAAAAAGTAGACGCTCCCCGATGACGCCTGACCAATCAAAATCATTGTAGAGAAATGTAGCTGACCAAGCTGACCCTACAGTCTATTATTACATGTAATAAGACATATTAAGAAATGTAGCCTATCGTTGATATGTTATAGGGATTTAAGTTTTTTTTTAAATACTTCACTTTTGATTTCTTGGGTTTTACTAAACTACATCTACCCTATTTTACTCGTAAGAGTCAAGTGATGCCTGATGTTATCCCTAATTTTGTTTTTTATTTTTTTGTCTCATGCAGTGATGACTACTACAATAAAGACATGTAAAAAGAAAGGATACCTTTGCATACATTTGTGTACACCATTACTTGTAGATTGTGTTCCATTACTAACTCTTTTGTTATAATAAATGATATAAGATGTCATTGAGCAACCATGTTGTTTTTCAAGTAATGACATTGAAATAAAGCTTATGATAAAGTTCATTACTGTTGTGCATCACGTTCACACACCCTCATTTCCATATGTAAGGAAATACTTTACATTTGTAAAACTAAGGTGATCTCTCATATCACACATGTAACAGCTGTCAGTTAGCACCAGTTACTGTGATTTGATGTAATGACAACTTGGTGACAAACAGCTACTGATATGTTGCATTGATCTCTACCCACAGGAGAAGCCCCATTTCTGCTGTGTTCAACAAGTGCATTATGAAAGAAGAGAAATTCTGTCTTCTTAAACGCTTTGTGTTTCAGTGACTGAAGAGTGCCATAATAAATGCATGTCGTTTTTATTGATTTTAAAGGCCACAGTATTTTTCCACAATTCCAATCAAAGTTAAACAGGACAACCAGTGTTTCAAAATCTTCCACAAAGTCAAAGTATTGTTATTTTAAAAAAAAAAGAGGCAATATTTACAGAGGTTAATTTCATAGATACAATATATGGCTAATAGCTTTTCTCTTGATTGCTTGTGACTCATCAGCTTTATCTGCATATTATTGAGTGAACTACCAAACACACAGAACCCTACAGCAAAGACATCAGACATGGTGGTATCTACCAACAACATAAAGTGCTACTACACATTATTCACTCAGTTACTAACGGAAAACAGGAATTTCAAAAAAGGGATAAATTCATCCTACTAGCTCTTTTTAAAAATGTAAAGACATAAGTTAACACATACATTTTACAGTTAATGAAGCAGTGTCTTGTCTGATCCTATTTAGGAAAAATATTATACATACACTGAATGGTTTAACGTTTTGGAATTACATAATCTGCTGAGTTATTTATTTATATTTGCATAAAACAGATCAGTAATAAATGACTTCAACAAAAGCACATTATTTGATTAAATCTCAACATCCTGTTTCGGACAAGGAGGAATGTAGTTGACGGAAATTCATCTTCGAAAACATAATGTCAAAACTGAATGTGAGAGTTCATTTGGTTCATACATTCAGCAGGTCAAATAATGCTCTCTCTTGTGTTTCTTCATACCGAAGCACCCGTGTACTTCTCTCTATAGTGTGTAAAAAAGTCCTCTGAGTTTTGTGACAACATACAAAAAAAGAGCAGCATCCAGCTATGTGACTAACTGAGGTCAAACCATTGGCTTTCTTTAGCTACAGCAAGACAGGACTATTCGGATTCAAGCTCAGGTTCCAGTTCCTTCTCTACGTCTATCCACGAGCGTTTCTTTGCACTCGGGAAATCCTTTCCTAAAGAGCCTCGGGTTAGCGGACGATAATCGCTGACTTCTCCGTGCCTGGTGGTGGTTGAAGGACTTTCCTCTGGGCTTTTAAAACAATAGGTTTGTCTGACCGGGCTGTCCTTGTTGGAACTAGATGGACTACTTCCTGTTTTCACACCCGGAGGACTCCATAGCTGTATTGTCTTTTTCTTCGGAGGCCTTCCTCTGCCTCGTTTCACCAGTAGGGGGTTGTCGCTAACAACTCCTGGAGAGTCATCAGCTTGCATCTCGCTCGATGCCACAGTCCTTTTTTCACTTAGTGTCTCTTCAACCCGTGAAGACGTTTCACTTTTAATCAGATTTACGCCAGCGTCCTCTCGCAAACCATTTTGTAAAAAAGCACCGCAAGGGGGAAGGGAGTTCTTTCGAGGCCTGCCTCTGCCTCGGCGTACTACGGGAGGAATGACACGGGAAGGAATGATGTTTACTGGCTGAAAACTCAAACAGGCAGTCGGCAGCGTTTTGTCCACGCCCTCAGCTGGGCCCCCCTCCTGGCTTTTCTCCACAGCTTGCGGAGTCCCCGAAGGCACAGAGATTGATTTAAGCAGGGTGAGCTCCACCGGGGCGGGCGTTGGACCTGAAGACTTTGGTTTAGAGTTGGAGGGTTGTACAGTTTGGTCGTCCTCAAAATCACAACTGTTTTCGACATCTATAAAGAGCTCATGATCAGACATGCTCTCGTCTTGGTTCTCTGATGACTCCACTTTAGGAGGGCGGACATCAGATGAAGGGCTGACTCCATCTTCCTCTCCTTTCTGGCTGGGTTGCATGACCGTGAGTGTGTAGAAGCCATGTCCAACTGTGAGAAAAGAGGTTAAATATGCACGTGTGAATATAAATAAAGATGATTTGACTCTGGCATTAAATGATGGCTAAAGCCAGATGTTTTCACTTACGTGGTTTCAGAGATGAGGGAAGTATGATTCTGCCAGTCTTGGAGCGAATCAGAGGAAGAGCAATGGGCTTTGGAGGCTCTGCGGGTTTTTCTTTTGGTCTAAATGTAGGCACGTGTGTGGACTTGGACTCGGACTTGAGATTAGTGTTACAGACCTGGGCCAGGGACTCAAGTACCTGCAGAGGGTCCTCACTTTTCTGAGGAGCGGCTGGTAGTGAGTGTACCCGTTGAGGTATGACTTTCAGTTCACCGGGTTGAGCAGGAGTGCTTTGTAGGTCGGGCTTAAGCAGGGACATAATCTTCCTGTGCGCTGCAATCTGAAGAGGGTTAGCCTGAGACGGAAGGTTAGCCTGAGACAGAAGCTTCTGGAAGTCAGGGTGTACCCGGCGTCTGGGATGGAGCTCCGCGTTTAGAGCAGAGGTTCTCAGATCGACAGCTTTGGACTGAAGGAGATTGGAAAAGTAAGGCAATTCCTTCATCTTATCTCTAATCTTTTGCCTCTCGCAGATCTCATTCAGCTTTTGTTTGATCAGCATGTCCGGCTTCCCTAAAGAAGAACACACACAAGTTTCAGTAAAGAGACCCAGTGCCATCACCCATTTTGTAAATGCTGTTAGCCATAGCAACAACTGTGCTACGCTGCTCATTATCCATGCATTTTAGATAGAGACCCCGACATCATTTTTATTTTATTTTTTCTGATTAATTTTCACCTAGGCTATATATCACTTATTTTATCCAATGATTAACTCAAGTTTTATTTCCTTTTAACGATACTAGCTGACATTGGATGCTCCAATTATTAACTGAAAGTGCCACAAAGTCGCAGGGGTTGGACTTCACTCAAGTGTGAGAAGAGTCGAGCCATAAAACGATGACAGGAATCGTTTCCCAAGTACTTTGAATTTAAACCCAATGGGATTATGGAAACTGATGTCAATGAGGAAATGTTGGTTTGATATATGGCTGAGCCGACACAGCCAGAACACGTGAAGTGGTGTGGGTCAGAAAATGAGAGGGGAAAGATGCTCTTCACCGTGAAATCCATACTTGGTGGAATGAACCACGCTAACCAGTTCAGTCGTTTCACAGGATTACCTTTGTTGTCATAACACTCTTCAACAATGGATTTTCAATCAAACAGTATATAAATCAGAACAAAGGGAGAAATAGTAAAAAAACGACATGCAAAATGGAACCTACCAGACAACACAGAAAGCTCCTTTATATAAAGAGACTGCATCCGACTCAGCATCATCTTCTTCTCTTGCAGACTTCTAGACTCCTCAACCAGATGACTGATCTCTTGTTGGGCCTGCAAACAGGATACAGCAAAACAAACACATTGAGTAAAGACCATGAGGGCAGCTATACACGCATACTCTCATCCATACATTTATTTGAAATAGGCCATTTTTGTTGGGAAGTCATTCTTTGTTCTTCTTTAATGCTAATGAGTGGCACACTTCATTGAATATATTGTAGTACAACACTTGATGTGGACTTTAGAGGGCATTTCATTAAGCTGTTTCTATTGGCAATCACAATTCATTTGAATTTTCACAGCTATGTGAACTAAGAATTACTTGATTTATTC